CAAGTACGCAAGTGGCACTATGGTAATACATCATAATTGCATACCTGAACCACTTCTGGTGTGGACGCTCTCATGATAGTGACAACTGAGAGAACCCTGTCAGAGAGAATGACAAGAGCTCTGAGTGACTCAGTCTGGAAAGAGAGTCTGGTGACGGCATCATGTGGACAGGAACCACATCTCAGTGACACCCCAGCCAGAGGACCAGCCAGCGACTGTGTAAACTCTCTGGGTTCACTTGGTGGGAGAGGGTAGACCCCTGTTATTAGCTGTCCAGCAAACACTCTGAATAGTAGCAACTTTCCTACAAGTAATACAAAGAACGGGAGTCGTACGTTGTATGGCCAAGTAATCGTGTAAGTGACGTTTGATGTTCGCTAAAAAGCCAATACACCCAAACTCACGGCCGCCCACTCGGGGCCAACGCCAACACACAACACAGCTGTATATGTAACCCGCCTTCAAGGCTGTTCAAGGGACGGGGAAGCAGGAGTAGCAAAAGGAACGCAACTAATTTCGAACTGGAAAACATCCAAGAAGACGTGAGTGGCTGCGGCGCAGTGTGTTCCTCTACAAGACTGGACCTGTATATACGGGAAATTCCCCTGGTTTTCCCCTTTCACTAAACGCATGCGCATCGTCAACAGAGCTCAACGCGCGCGTGCGCAAGAACGGACGATAAAAATTCACACATGTAACAAACCTTGATGGTGGTCCCTCAGTTTGCAAGGCTATCTGCATGGAGAAAAGTAGTTTCCTCTTCTCCAGGAACAAATGCAGACACTGCAGTGCTGGTGTTAACCCTCGCTGCGCATGTGCGCCGAGGGTTTAATGAGCTTACAACACTTTACTAGCTGAACCACCAGTTCACTGTGTATTGTGAATTGAAATTCTATTGGGATTATTAACACATAAAATGTGGCCAGGGTCGTCTGTATGTCCACATAAATAGTATTTTGGTCACACTGAAACTACGCAATACATTTTTGTAGGACCACATTGAATCAAGGTTAATTTGCATTTCCTTGCCACCCTTTCAGGTAATTTCCTATCCAGACAGACGCGTGGGAGGATGTTTCCTGGACTCCAGTACAGTCAGGGGGAGCAATTGTATAAAAGGCTGGAGCAAAAGAGAGGACTGTAAGAGAACTTCATCTTGGAAAATGAAGAAATTCACAGCTGTCACTCTGGTAGTCTTCCTGTGTTGCCTGGAGGTGGCTCTCTGCTACCCAAACCCAATTGGAAAGCCTCAGGTGGTAACTGGCGAATCAGCATCTATCATTGAGCCCCCTATTCAGCAAAGTATATAGCTGTTTAGTTTTTTAGTACAACATTACGGTATATAGCTATGTGTGTCGTATCACCAGATAGGAAAATCAGCCCGTTGATATCACTAGGTTGGCTCACTCCCACTCGCCAATTATAAGGTGCTGTTGTGATAACAAAATGCACTTATTATAATCAATGAACTGGGCACATTAACGGTGCTCCCGGTTGCTGAAATACTATAAACAAAGTGGGCATGATAATCTCAGCAGGTGTTCCAGAAAACCCTACTGTATAGTTAATGCTTGAGCCTCCAGCAGTAGAACTCCATCAACTTCTGGTAGAGGTGCGCTCCAGGTAGATCCTGTTCGTCATTTTTTTCAAGGTTCACCTTCTTGCCCAGTGACTGCTCAGGAGGCATGGGCTTAGCTGCAGAGGTCTGCCCCACCTGTTGGGTTGGGTTTTCACAGCTGCAATCTGTTGTTCAGCGCGCCCACTTCCCTGTGGCCTTTTAGCTGGCCATGAGGGGTGGCATAGGGCAACCTCAAGTATATACACACAGGTATTGAACTTGAGAGAGAGCTGGGATGATCTTCATTTTCACCACTGCACGTACACCAGGTAAATAAAAATTATTACTGGTAGCTGTTAGCCTACACATTCCTTCACGCAAGGTTTTGTGTTTTTTTGTGTTGTGTGAAATTTTCCTCCATAAACTATACTATAACTATTGGCAGGACCAGGCCCGAAGAAGAGGGCTTTCAGTAGTCAGCACTACATATAATTATATCATGTGAAGACATGCTAACCCCAGTGAACAGCTATAGAGCGTTATAAAACTGCACATGTGTGCACTCCCTCAATAAAATCCTCCCCACAAAAATTGTGGAAATATTTTTCTGCAGTGGCCCCTAGACATGCAGTGTCTCACTCTATACACTTTCCACAATGCCTTGTCACAAGTGGATCGATAACGGGCGTCATTCCCAACTGTCATTGCACAGTAGCTATTAATAATCAATCACACTGTTACACCTACAGCCTCAACGCCAATTCAACGGTCCTCCCATCTGTGAAGTAATTATAAGGTGCTGAGCCCTTGTGACAAAATGCTGTATTAGCTAAAATTATAAATTATATAATCAATGAACTAGGCCCGGTTGCTAAAATACAAAGTTGGCATGAATGTTTTTTCAATGTTAATCTCTGCAGGTAATAGTCCAGAACACCCTACTGTAATGCTTGCGCTTCGAGTAGTGGAACTCCGTCAGCTTCTGGTAGAGGTGCTTCGTGTCGAATCTTTTCGTCATTATTTTCAAGGTTCACCACAATTTCCTTATTGACCAGTGACTTCTCAGGAGGTGTGGGCTTAGCTAAGATCTCCCGGACCTTTTGGATTGCATCTTCTGAAGCTGGTGATGGCTTTTGCAATTGCTCAATGTTAGTAGCTATACAAGAATGGAATGGAGCTGTACTGTAGCTACTATCTAAATGCCCTAGTAACCAAAAAGTGTGCAAAAACGCTGATATTTGTAGCCGCAATTAATTGTAACATTAAGGTAGTCTCAGTCTGGCGTACCCTTAGGCAGGCTACACAAGACTATTTGGGTATATTGTACCAGGTCAATGTGACTGTGACATGCAGTTTTGCATCAATGCATGCACAGTTCGATAATGGAATCATGCGACTACATTACTTAAGAAAAAAGGGCACTCATACCTCCATGTGGCCAAGAACAATTCTTAGTCGCGATTGGGCATCATAATTATTCATCACTGGCTTGTTGGATTGCTACAAAGTGCAATTATGTCATATTGGTAATAGAAGTCGATGGGAATGTATGTAGCCCCTAATTTGTGGGTTGGCTGATCATTACTCCAACATCTGAAGACTATAGGTTCCTATTGCCTAAGCATCGCTGTTCAGATATTATTAAGGCTTTCACGTAGCTATAAAAAGATGAAGAGAACTGAAGAGAGGAAAATCACAGGAGAAAATGATGGTTTTCACAGCTGTCACTCTGGCTGTCTTCCTGTGTTGCCGGGAGGTGGCCTTTTGCTATGTATCCCAAGGCAGCTGCAAAGCCTTAAGAACTTGCTGAGGGAATAGCACAGGGAGTTAGTCGAAAACCTTTGGAAATTGTCAGGGAACAACTGGAAAACGTCTTGAATTTTGAGCACATGGTTACTGTGCAGCGGGGTTAGTACACTTTTATCTCAGCTAGCCATTATTATTAAAGATGTTTTTCCCTACACAGATACTGCCACAGTATAGTCATTGTACTGATGCTAGAGTCGAAGTTGGGTCAGTATCTGAATGCTGTTGTGAACGTGCGGGTATGTTTTCGAAATATACAACCAATACGATGGCTACTACTACTGCATCAAGTGTCACAGTTGGTTTGGGTAACGAGAGAGCCATTTCAAGGAACTTCATGACTATTTAACTATAGTTGAGGTCATTATTTCACTGCTGTAGTAGGCTATCAAAATAATGATGAACTAATTGTTGTAACTTATGTTCGCCCATGCGCATTGGAAGGACCACACTGTGGTAGCTGAAGCTTCCGCAACCTCCTTTATAAAGCTCTGGGGCATGGCATTGGAGTGTCAACCCAGCCATCATTTAGGGCCGAATCCTGTCACATTATCCTGATATTGACCATTATGCAAATTACTACTAGTTTACCTCGACCCACTGTTTGCGTACCATGGAGGCATCAGAAGTTACAATGGAGGGCAAGTCTCAAGTATTGAGATGCTATAATGCTATCTAACCTCTCAGAGAGTTTTCTAACACGAGTAACAACCGTGTCCATTAATTGGTGGTAAACTAACCCGCACATGCGTATGTGGGTGCCAATGCATGGACATTTAGCTATATTATATTGCACCTAGGGTTTGCACTTTTGTGCTTTTCATTTATGGTGCACTTGCATTGCAGCGACAAGACTCTATTAAACCAACTTTTGCAGTGGTATGGGAGAATATGTGGCGTCAGTAGATGAATTTGTCAATAATTGTGGCTGCTTGGTTGATAGCTACCACCACTGCATCTGTATCTCCCTTGAGCGATACAAGAGAAACAGTCCAAGGAACTCATAAATATTTGCTGGACTATGTGTAATTATAGTATGTTCAAGTTGAGAATGCACTTTGCAATAGAAGGCTTTCTTATGTCACACAAAAACTATGCATTGGATTTGTACAAAACCAAGTCCCAAAGGAATAGCACCTTTAAGAGCTACAAAATGGCACCAAGAACTGTGCAATAGAGTAAGGGGTAATGATGTTATCCAAGAAAATCAACATGCATTCTGAACGTGAATGGACTTTAGTTGTACTTCAGCCTTTGTTACTGCTGAGACGGAACGTTTGAATTAAAGATGTATGTAGCTGAATAGTCATGTTATAATCGACGAGCGAAGGGAACCCACCCGGTTTTCTTTATGTTTCTGCCCTGTCAGTGGCGGCAGCAGCCAGTGGCGTAGACAAGTTCTCGTAGGATTCCCCGATTTCGAGACTTGTTGATCATTCTTACAGTGAGCCCTAATCACACGCATGCAACGAGGAGTGGCAGGCCTAGGCGTGATCTCTCTGGTCAGAGAGCAATTTGTCCGTAGACCATCCTAATGTGCATGTGTTGACATTAGTGTCGACTCACAGTCGCCTACGCCCCTTTCTGGTTGTACAGCAACTTCGCTTGTCATTCACACATGGAAAAGGCTTGATTTGTTCTCAAGAAAGAAGAAAGACCAATATACTACAAATACTAATACTCTGATGATTTTGGATTACAAAAACGACATTGTTAACTACGCAGCTCTTACACAACTGTGCCTTACTTTTAGAGAAAGGTTTTGGGAATGCATTCGTATAGGTAGGCTCTCTCTTAGCATGTTGTCCTGCAGTAATACAGTCATGTTATACCATACTTCATTCAGATTTCAGTTTCATTCTCAGCCGCAGCAGTTCCCTGTTCCTGGGTGACAACAAGATCAGCAGGTGGAGAAAAGGGTGGAGAGGCAGTCTGAGCAGACAACTCCAGGTAGTCTGACTCCCTCTCCAGAAGACCACTGAACTTGCCCACCAAATCCTTGAACAGCGGACGAGCACGGGAGTCCAGTGACCAGCAACGCATCATAATCTCATACCTGTTAAGACAAAGTGGAGGTTTGTGGGCTAAATGTCTATAGTTCCTTACACTTCATCCAGGCAGGCCTGATTGTCAGGTCTCTCCAGTCTCTGCCCGCCCTGCAGTTCCTTCAGGAGGCGTATGGCTGGAACACCAGTGTATGGGATCCTCCCACAAGTGAAGATCTCCCACACTGTCACTCCAAATGACCACTGGAGATAAGTCACCACAACTCAGAATAGTAGTCATGGTGTGTATTATCTGAACGTACCACATCAGTGGCCTCAGCGTAGATATCTTCCTCAATGCTCTCGGGAGCCATCCACCTGATGGGCACCTTTTCCTCACTCCCACCCTCTCCCCTTTCCCGACGGAAGTAGTTGGTGCCATACATGTCCTCGGTTAGTCCAAAATCTGCGACCTTTATCACTCCATCACGGTCGATCCTGAGAGAACCACAGGGTATGTCAAGTCTCAACGGTGAATAATGTGTTTCTCGCAGGGCTAATCTCACATGCAGTTCCGTGCTGCCAGATCGCGGTGAACAAACTTGTGCACTGCAAGATACTCCATACCCTTTGAGATGTGGTGACAAATATTCAGTAGAATTTTCCTGGAAGACAAAATCTGTAATGATAATATATAAGAAACATAATTAGGTATAATGAAGCAAGAACTGAGACTTGACCTCAGCTTCCAGTGCATTGATACAGAGCAGCTCCTTTATGCGATGTTTAACAAACTCCAATACACTCCCTTTCGTCATGAATGGCATAATCAGTAGGGGCGTGTCTTCATCAAGGCATACTCCAAGTAAAGGCATGACATTAGTGTGCTTAAATGACAACATGGTAGACACCTCCTTTGCCAAACATTCCTTATCACTGGTGGAAAAGAGCGCTGCAGGCATACAGAAAGGCATGACATAAAATAATGCCATTATAATTCTGTAGAGTACCTTTTCCAGTTTTTGACAGCAACCAGTTCCTTCCCTATTCCAGTGGTCAGATATCCCTTGTATACCAGTCCTGACTCTCCTAACGAATTAAAAGAGAATGAGTTTGCAAACTTTTTAGCAGAACACACCTTGACCCACAGTGCTTGAAAGCTCAAGTTCCTCTTTGCAGAATAACATCCCTTTTCCTTTTAGTTGCTCTCTCAATTGTGAGGACAAGATAGAAGTCTTTATGGTCTTATCTGTTAGTAAACTGCATAATATACACTCAGAGTTTTATGTAATATTTTACCGAGTGAATGATCACTGATGGGCACATTTCTTGCGCGCCTATATATTATAGAAATAGTCACCACATAACAGTAAAGTGGGTATCTACGAGATTTTCACACTCACTCTTCAAGTAGAATTTGCAGCTTTTTCGTAGTCTTTTTCCAGTAGAGTATTAGCATGATGACGACTGCCATAGAGGGTATGGCAATTACTACAACCACTGCTGGAATGGTAGCTGCAATAATAATGTTGCTTGATGAAGAGGACGGACTACTAGAAGTATCAGGAGGTGGAGTGCAGTCAGGACATTTGTTGGGTGGTAATTCAATGATAATTGAAGTCATTGGTCTATTGAGGGTGACACGAGAAGTTTCATCTTTAGTTATGGTAGCCACCACAGTCTTTAATGCACTGCAGTCGAAGTATTCGCAGGTAATAGCATCAAAGTCAAACGAAACGTCGTAGCACTTTGTTATCTCTGGATTGGTACTATTTACCACACAATGTAAGTTGTAAGTGCTTTGCTTTAAAAAATCTGTAGGAACTGTAGGCAAAAATGATAAAATAGGCATATTCATAGCACTGAAACTTCCTACATGCAGTGGTGTCAGTTGTGACGCTGAGAGTAAATATTTCGTCAATTCCAGGAGAACTGGCGGTGACACATAGCTCCACAACACCTGTCATTTCAGAGATTGTGTAGTTTGTGTTCTCATACCACACACTCACATCTGCAAGAC